CCCGCATCCCTTCATCCCTCCGTGATCCCGCATCCCTTCATCCCTCCATGGTCCCCCATCCCGCCTTCCCGCCGCCTGTGCGCCTGCCCCACCTAGCGGCCGGCACTGAGAGAACAGCGCGGATTATGTTCTTTTTCCAAGTGTGAAGCACTGGGAATGCCTTAAAACGCTTAAAAAAGGGGCTGAAGTGTATTAAGTGCAATTCAAAATAATTGCAGAGGATGACCGTGCAGTCCCCTTCTGGTAGCCCATCACCTGTGAACAGCAGGGCTCTGAGGGGGTGTGGTGGCCCTGAGAGCAGCGCTGTGCTGCTTGGTTTAAAACTCCTAATTCTCCCGTTTAATCGACATATTTTACAAATTATGTGGTCAATATTAACCTATTCACAAGTATAAACGCACTTTTTAACTCTTATCTTTAAATGATTCATGATAATTGGAATTGGGCTTCCGCTTTGACACGTGAATATTTCAACCTCGCACTCATGCGATTCACATTCCCTCTCCATCTCCCTTCTTTCCCTCCTTGATAAAATAGATGCTTTAACTAATCTGTACTTTGTTTTCAAGATCACTTCCTGGTACAACAGCAGCTGAATGTGCATCAAACTTGAAGAAGATTTACACAGTACAAACAGTGCAGGTAAAGTGTCGGGCTCTGCTAAAGGGCACGTTATTAATGTAACTTCACACCTTAAGTTTCATTTTTCCTCATAGGATGAGTCACAGCTGTGGCTTTGCTTACCTGAGGTGTGAAACGTGAGTTTTGTTGGAGTTGTGTGTGTGTATAACTGAGTCATTGTTTGAATTTCACTTGGCTTTCCAGACCAGGAAAGGAGGAGGTGTATTGGATTGAACATATTGGATTATTAAATTTTCCTGGGTTTCCACTTGTACCTCTGTTGGATTGTTATACTTGATGTATTTTAATAATTTTTCTGCCTTTTTTCCCATGTTTTATTTAACACAGAAATTAATTATACAAAGACTAAAAATTGCAGCTTGTGGGTTTTTTTTTTTGGTCTTTCCTACTTGAGCATGAATCAAAAAAAAATTTAGCAAACTGACTTGAATTAAAGTTCTCTTACATCACGGAATACTCACAGTAATGAGAAATTCTGCATGTCTGTGTCATCTGCCAGTGCCTAGCAGTGGACATCTCTTGCAAGTAAAATTGCATTTATGTTTTAATACCACAGTTACCATGAAGTGTAGCCAATTGGTATTTGTCTCACCTTAATGCTAAGCTGACTCTAGTTCACTAAATCTCTGAAATTCTAAGGTGGTGCCAAACTCTTCTCTTTGAGAAGCACAGCTGTAGTGATCTCCTGGAGTTTTAAACAAGGCTTTCATATAATATGATCTTCCTTGGAGAAGTGAAGCCAAAATCTTCATTGACTCCATCACTCTCCTTCATGGCCAGTGCCTACTCAATGAGGAATTCCAGCCTCCACCACCTGAAGGATGTTTTCAACCCAAAACTTTTCAAACAAAGTCCCTGGTTCAGGACATAAAGAGCTCTCAAATGCTTCCACAGCCAGTGTAGCTCTGCTTCTTCTTCTGTCAGTAGCTTTAGGGTTTAGGCAAATAACCAGGTAAGAATAGGACAAAAGTTGAAACAGGTGTTTCGTAAAAAGTTTTTATATTTTTATTAGCCTTCCATCTCTTTTCTTGTGACTGGGAAATGGTAATTGCTGATAGGCAGAGTCACCAAGGGCCGCAAAATTTCATCACATAATGTTGCAATCTTTGTTACTAAACTTGTGCTAATGATTAAGTAATAGATAATACTTAATGTATTAGATAATACTTGAATATTATGTGTAGATAATACTTAATGAGTTGCACTACTAATTAATATTGCATCACCACATGTTGATGCAACTTAAGTCTTTAAAAATCTTATTCCCAGCTGTTGGATAAAGAAGAACAGGGATTGGGATCTTTTTGGTCATCCCTCCCTGTTGCTCACTACTGCTTTTGGGTGCCTTTTATCCACCCCAAACATGCATGACAGCTTCTGCTTGTACCAGCAGAAACACTGGGAAGTAATCAAATGGTTCCTGGTAACTTGGGTCTTCTGATTTCTCCCCCCTTCCTGTATTAACATGTACATCTGACGTTCTTTGCATGTGGTTGAAACCTTTCATTTAGACAAAGTAGTTGGGTTGCTGGTTAGGCATTTAGTTCACCAGAATTATCATTTGTGGTGGTTTTGTAACTCAGGATAATCACAATGAAGTTTAGGCTAGGCTAGGATATTTGATATAAATATTTTTTTATATGCTAATAAAATATTATATACTGCTTTGTTCTCACATACTTAGTGTAACTCTGTTTTTTATTATTTTTCTTCCCTCCCTATTGAAAAGGACCTTGATTCTAAAATAATCCACAGTTGGACTGCTTCCCTTCTTTCCACCTTCACTTATGCAGAATTGGCATCTAAAAAAAAAGTAGAAATTAACTTGTAACAAGTTCTTCTGCAAGCATTTTGTTATAACATAGAAGATGCCAGTTCTCTAGGAGAAGGAAATGCAATTGTTTTAGAGAAAACTAGCAAGGCAGTAAATCTGCAGGAAACGTACTCTCTTGTGTTAGTGCAACAAGTGTTTTTTCTTTTCAAGGATTTCTGGAGTGTCTACAACAACATTCCTCCTGTGACAAATTTGCCTCTGAGATGTAGTTACCATTTAATGCGGGGAGAAAGACGCCCACTCTGGTACGTGTGTTGTCATCAGACATTTCTGGGAATGGGCAGTGGAAGAACCTGAGCTGGAGAAAGGAGACAGGTGTGGGACAGGAATGTCTTGTTTGTTTTATTTTAAGTCTATCAAAGTAATTTTGTATTTTAGGAAAAGGATTGCCAGAGGTTGATCTCATCATCAGTAACCCACCAACTTTTCATTAATTACACACAAAAGTATATTGGCCAATATCAGCATTTATATATATATATATATATATGTGTGTACATTTTTTTTTTAGACAGAAAAACTAATTCTGAAGTAAGAATTGAGAACTGCAGGTTTTTGAAAGTGTCCTCCTAAAGCTTCCCAGCTCCTTTCCCCAGCATCTGCCAGGATTGGAATATCTAAACCCACTATGAAACCTATGGAAATTCCCCAGGACCAACAGTCTCCCACCAAAGATGAATTTTAGGTTATTCCTTTAACTTTGCTTTTACAGAGTTTTAACAGGAAAGTAAAAGCGATAATTTAAAATCTTACTGAATGAATTGTGGCAGAATAAATTTGAGGAGCTCACAGGTTTGTATGTTGTGCCTTTGTCATTACAAGGCAGTTTAATTGTTATGTCTGCCCTGACCCTGGGCAACTTCAGTCTTTTTTAAATATGAGCAATTAATTTCTGGCTGTCACAAAACTGAAATGAAGTGTGCTCGTGTTCTTTTGTTAAATTGGATGAATGGGAGACTAATAAGTTGCTTCTGTGAAAATATGCCAGAGGTTTTCCAAAATAAAAGGTTACCATGGTAAAACGTAAAATTGTTTTGTGGCTTGTTCCTGTACAGTGTGCAGCCACTTCAAAGACAGTCTGTTGTCAGGGAAAATGTAAGTATTTTCCAAGACACAAAACTTAGGAAAAGGGATTAGGTGTTGAGAGATACACTTCATATGAACAATGAAAGAATTATCTGTGATGTCAGAAGTCAGAGTCATGCTCCCTGGAGTTAGTAATTGCATTTCAGATGGGATTTTTCTGGGAAAATTAAACCACAAACATAAGGTTATCTAGATGTGGAATTGACTGTTTATTTTCACTGATCTATTTCCCATAACAGGGAAGAAGAAAGCAATGCCAAAGGAGGTATATGGAAAATGAAGGTCCCTAAAGAAAGTACGGTATGTTATGTTGACTTCTTACTCAGGCCTTGTTTAGTAAGGGAGTATCTTTAAACTGTATCTGATAAAGCTGTTGTAAAACTTTTTACTTCTGACGTCATCCAACACAACAACCAAACACTGTTTTACCATACATAACCTTTTAAATACAATGAGCAAAAGTTTCTTTTCCAATAATTCCGTATCTCTTGCTTTAGATAACATTTGGCAACGTGTTATCAAGCAATTGAAAGCCGCAGTGTTTCCATTTGGAAACATGGGAATTTATAATCACCTTTGTTCTTGAGACTGTTTGCCTACAGGCATACAAAGGAAACCAGGAAACCTTTTCCTGATAATCTATGCTAAATTATAGCCAGAACCACAGTCGACACAGCACAGAGTTTCACTGAAATGCTCCTAAACTCCCAGTCAAACTCTGTAGGACTATTTCTGTTTGGTGTGGCTTGTTTGCCCCTGTGATGGCTCTGAGAAGCCTGTGACTTTCTGCAGCCAAATGTGGACCAAGGCGTTGTTTCCACCATAACTCATGGCTGTGCTCCCACTGGAAGAGGCAAGATCTTGCTTCCTTCTCCTCTGATCCCTCTTGCACTGTCTCTGATCCTCATCAGACTATTTAATGAGCCAGCTTAGTGCACTCTGTTGTTGCAAAAGTCTCCTGGGTTTTTTTTATTTTTAATTAGACTGTACGGCCAGGAGAGTTTTTTGATGGGCATAAAGTAGAAAAGACAAGTAGGATCATCCCCTTTGGCAACAGTGAGTTGTCAGAGCACCTTGTGTGCATTTTGGGAAATTGCAGTGCTGCTCAGGTTTTTTTCCCCTCCTTTTTTTTTTCTCTCTCTTTTTTTTTTTTTTAATTTAAAAGTGTTAAAGATTAAGTCTGTTCAGGCATGTCATTGTTTGAGCCCTGATGAAATAACTGGGTTTCTCTTTGCATCCCTAATCAAATGCATGTGAGTAACTTTTCCTGTGAACCTCCATGGCGAGGAGATTTGACCTCTTCACACGTGGTGTTAATGTGTGCAAGTGTGCTTTGGATCAGGCCTTTAAACACGAAAAGTGAAGTGTCAGAAAAATGTGGCAGCCTTGCAGAAGGCATTAAATGCTGAAAGATGGCACTCAATTTCAGCCAAAAGTTAATTGATTTTTGCCTGTGGGCTTTTTTCCTCTGTGTGAGTTGCAGCTCTCCTCCCCTGCAGTCCCAAGTGATCACAAAAGACTCAAATTGTCTTTTTCCTCTTATAATCCAAGGTGTGAAGATTGTCAGAAGTGACAAGTGGTTTGGGAAGCCTGCATTACTGGGCAGTGAATTTAGGGGCCCCAGAGGCCTTGTTTTTCAGAGGCTGAATGACAGCCCATTTTTGAAATGAAGGTACTTTTGATCTCTCAAACTACACACCACATGGCCCCAGTCACTTCTGAAAGGTTTGCAGGTTTGCTTGAAGGTGAACTTCAGTCAGCTTTCAGTGCCTTGTAAATAATATAAATAATACCTTTATGCCTGTCTCTCATTTTTTGGGTTCGTTCTTCGTCACATGTGTGCACAGCATCTCCTTGACTGAGATGAACCATCTTGTACAGACCTAACTATTAATTATATAACACAGCATGTACTTGCAATAAATAGTCCTTTTTTTTCTAGACAACCTCAGAAAGAGAAGACACTCAAAACTGAGCTAGCTAACCTAACTTTTAAATTAAAAAATAATAATGCAAATGTAACTTTTTTTCTGCTTCCTTAGGTTGCAGTTTGGAAAGAGCTACTGCTGGCAACTATTGGAGAGCAGTTTACAGATTGTTGTGCAGCAGGTAATGATTGAGGCAAGCATGACAAATTGAGTTGGAATACAGAACACAGTAGCACTGCTAAAAATGGGGTGTAGGGCTGGAAACCCTGTTCATACCCATTGTCATTAAGAAGAGGACAAGGTATGCTGACTACCTTTGTACAAGACTCAATCTCAACAGCTTGTGTCTGTGGGAAGCCAGCAGATTTTCTAGTTATTAAACATCTGTCAGTTAGCCAGTATTTAAATAATTAATTTTCATTCCCCAGTATCAGGATTATGGAACCCTAAATGGCACTTCCATACAGATTGTTTGGATTGTCACTGTTGGAAGCAACTAAATTAGATCAATCATAGAAATCATAAAAGGTTTGGGTTGGCAGGGACATTAAAGATCATCTAGTTCTAAACCCCCTGCCATGGGCAGGGACACCTTCCACTAGAGCAGGTTTCTCAGAGCCCCATCCAACCTGGCCTTGAATAGATGCCCCCATTTGCCCTCATGGTCCCTCTGGTTAGGAATTGTCAGGGGAAGCACCAGTGCAGACCTGAAGCACAGGGACACTGGGTGGTTTGCCTATGATGACATTAAAAGCCCATAGCAGGGCCACAACACAAACCTGGCTCTCCTGAATCCCAGGTTAGCACTCTACCCAGAAGCAATATTTTGTTCATTGCTTAAAAATACTGCTCAGGTCAAGGTAATGTTTCATGTAATTGAATTTACATAAATATTCTAAAAGTACTTTGCTGGTTTACTGGAAAACGGGCATTAATCATCCAGAAGCTCACATATTATTTTGGTCAGAGGTAATAATTTAATGAAGTCCCTTTCAGAATAAATATATTCTCCAGGCTTGCAAGGTTCCTTGCAAGGAAAGGAACTCTGTGAAGGGACTGTGAACACTGGCTGCTTTAAAACAGATTGTCAAAGGCAACTTGTTAGTCATGAAAAGCAAGTACAAGTCTGACCATTTAATTCATTAAGGTTCCATTAAAGAATAGTTTCTTGCTTCTGGGTGAAGCAAACAGTGAACTTGCTGACCCACTGGCCTAGAGGGAAAGTGTTCTGGGAGCTGTTACTAAACTAACTTTTCAATTCAAATGGCACTTCTCCATCGTTTCTTTTGACCATATTTACTTCTCTCCTAAGCGTGAATATCTGACTAAACTGGATGTTCCAGTGGCTGTGAATATCCTGTTAGGAATGTTCCTTCACTGCTCTATCATTCCATAAAAAAGAATTGCATCACTCAGGTTCACAGAGCAGTTCAGCAAAGACCTTCCAAATGGTGTCTCTCACACCCTTTATATACTAATAGGGTTGACTTGGGGTCAGTTTATGATACTCTGCTGCCTACAGAGGAAGTTTTCCCTTGTCCATGTGCTTTTGGCACCATCTTTGTGTTATCATTACTGACCCCTTCCTTAGGATGCATGGGACAGCTGTGCCATGGAGCTCACAGCTGGAGGCACCCACTGCTCCCAGTGGAAAGCTGTGGCTTGGCCTTGGAGCTCTCCATAAAGCTGCATCCTGAGAATTTCACACCAAAAAGGGCTTTCTCAGCAAAACATGGAGTTACCAGCACTGGCAGCAGCAGCCTGACTGGGGCTTTATTAATTTCTTTTTTTTTTCCTTTTTTCTGTTGCTGTCTTGACTAAATGTAAAGGAAAAAGGGAACAAAGTCTAGAAAAGCTGGTGTCTGATCTCCACCAGGTACTGTTCCTGGGGTTTTAGTTGTTTCACCCTCATCCTCACATTTTTGCTTGTAGGCATTATTGTAGGTAAATTATCTTATTGCTGACCTTACTGAAGGGAGTCTTGTGATTCCCTTCTAATCAAGAGTGCTAATAGCAAAGATGAATAATCTTATGGCACTTCATAAAAAACACTATGAGGTAATATTTCCAATAGCTTCTATAAACACAGTGGTTCTTTCTGGTAACTATTTTGTCTGGTTTGAACATTGGTATTTTCCTCACTGGAGATTGCTTTTTTTTTTTTCACGTCTTCATTTTTTTCCCCAGCTTTTGGGCACTGTTTCATAATACATAAGTAGCAAATTAGACATGTCTCACTTTTAAAGTATTCCTTAATGATTCTTCCCCTTCTGTGCAGAAGATGAAGTAATAGGGGTTAGTGTCAGCATTCGGGACCGTGAAGATGTTGTGCAAGTCTGGAACGTGAATGCCTCTTCAGCAAGTGAAGCAAAAGTTCTAGAAAAGATTCATAAACTTCTGCCACACACATCTTTTAAAGCAGTCTTCTATAAACGTGAGTGTTTTGTACTGTTTGTACTGTTAATTTCCACCTTCATTAGAAAAACAAGATGCTGGGAGGGTATTTCCATGGGAATATCCTGCCTGATTCATCATTCATCACTTAGGAACGTAGCATCTGTCATTGCATTAAAATTATGTCCCTTCAATGTAAAAGTTAGCTATCATTCAAAAGATATTTTTAATTTAATCGTAGAATATATTTGGTTTCATGTTTAATATGCCTGAGTCATAAAACAAGTGAGACAAATCTCTTGATAACTCTCAAGGCTACACGCTGTTCAGTTTAAGGATTCATTTAGAGGAACCATTTACAATCAGGGTTTTAAGGGATCTCATATTTTAGTATCTCTATAAATGTATTATCAGAATAGTGTATTCCCAAAGATCACTTGTTGGCATGTTGTGTCTTCCTTTACTGATTTATACATTGCCATCTTCTGTTTTTTTAATCTTTTCCTTGGCATAGTTTACATGTTCTTTTATTCTTTTTTTCCCCTTCTCTCTTCCCTAGCCCACAGAGAGCATCATGCTTTCGAAGGCTGACATGGAAAGCATTAAGTGCAGTGTGTGTTGTTCTTTGGTGTTTTGAGCTGGTCTGGACAAGGAGGAGAATGGTGGAAGCCCTGCAGAAGTGCTACATGCAGTTGGTCCTTTTGAGTTTCTGACATTTCAAACTGGACTAATGCTGTTGAAAATGAAGAAAAACAGTTGCCTTGACCGCTAAATGCGCAATTCATCACTTCATGTTGAGTTGGAGTTTTTAATTCTTGTTTCTTTAAAAAGATATTTTGGCCACTTGTTTTTTTCAACCTGATTCTATATTCCCATTTCATTAAGATAGCAGGCTTTCTTTCCTTCTGTGCTGTACATAGTGAAAAGCAAACATGCACAGAGATGCTGCGCTGCTTCTCTGAGATGTGCTCTACATAGAGGAATGCTGGCTTGGGGAAATGTGTTTTCAATTTTCACTTTGAGACATTCCTATCATGTTAAGATTTACTCACTGATTTTGTCCCAAGAGAGAAAGAAATTGCACTGCATTTATTCTAATATTCTAATATTCAGTGTGATCTGGTTGTGCACTGACAACAGCACACATACTGTAAATGTAAATAGAAAAGGGTTCATTAAATTATATTCATTATATTGGGACTAACCCTGTGTGGGATGATGTTAATGTGTTTTAGTTGTATTGATTTCAGAAGAACCTTCGTTCAGGCTAGAATGAGAAATCTTTTGGTAGGAAAATCTGCAAACTCCACCCCATCTTATTTAAGAAGCGATGGGGTGTTTATGTTTTTATATTGTATGCTTTCTTATGGTACATTTCTGTACATTCATGAAAAAGTGTAATGAATAATTTCTAATGTGTTTTACAAACTGGATCCATCCCTCCCACTTCCAGGAGTACTTCAGGCCCATGTCTGCACCCACTAGGTCAGTGTCATAATTGCTGCTGACTTCAGTGCTAAGGAAGAGGCTCCTTCATCTGTAGTTTCAAGCCATGAAAACTTCCTAAGTGACCTTTTTAAAACAAACAAAAAATATAGAAAAGTAATAGATTGTTTTGCAGCAAGGATAGGAATATAAACAGTGTTAACCTTTAAGTGTTTGTCTATTTTAACTATTTGAGGTGCTTTAATATACTACCAAAGATTGATTTAGTTCCTCTTACAAGAAGAAGCTGCAAGGTAGAGATGACTGTACCACTGAGCACTCCTTCCTCGTTTAGAGGTTTTTGTTTGGCAGCTGTTCAAGTTGCACTAATTTCCACATACTAAGGAGACAACCATAAAAATCAAATAAATTTAAAAATAAGTATCACACATTTGAGATTTTTTTTTTTACAACTTTATCTTGTATTTACAACTTTAACTTGTATTTATGAACTGTGCAGTTAATGAGCATTATCAATTAAACACATTTTTTAAAGTCCAAATGTCTTGCTTCTGTAATTGCTTTCTGAGATTAAATGTTTCTGGTCCTGTTTTTTCAAACCTGTGTATTTTTCAGTAAAACTCTCTTAAAAGCTATCTGTTTTGTTAATAGATTGAGATTTACTTTTTTTTTTAATGAAAAAGTATGGAGTGCCAGCAGATACTTGCAGGTGGGATGTACATGGACAGCCTCCAGGCCTGTGTGATGGAGAAGAAAAGTGACTTCAGAGAAGAGAGGGGTAGAACACATTGAGGAAAAATGTTTGTAACAGCTTGATGAGCAAGATTTCTCACTTGAAATACTTCCCTGTCTTTGGAGGAAATGTGAGTGGAATACCAATGGAGAATTAATCACACACCTCTCCCTCCTCTTTGTTTTACTTTTGGAAACAAGCCAGACTCTCTTACCTCTTCCCCAGGTTTGTTTTCAGCACGGATGTTGATTTCAGTAGAGTTGGATCTGCTGGCAGGAATGGCTGAGCTGGTGATGTCACTGGAACTTGCTCATTTAAGGTATTACTTTATTCATCCTATTGAAGGAAATTATTTTTATGTTGTTGCCTTGTGTGCTCCTTTAATATTAAAGACCTCTCTGCTTCAATGTTGGGTAAAGACTGAGAGACACTTTATTCTACCCATAGGGCAGGGTAACTGCACATCGACTGCTAAAGTCCACATTACAAACTGTTGTCAATTTTTCATTGGTCTAAATCCCTAGTCTATAAAATTATGGATTTTTTCCATATGGCTTAATTCTGGTGATAGTTATTATTACTTAGAATCAGGGTTGATGGATATGTTCTTGACTAAAATTCAGTGTATCTTATGCCACAATCCAAAATCAGGCTTGGATCAAACTGGGTAGGGCAAGTTCACAGGAACCTGACAAATTGCATATTGGTATTTTGCAACCATTGATTTAAAGACTTTGTAGAATTTTTGAACTGTCCTTTCATCCCTGCATCTGTAGGGATGTATTTATTCCAAATGATATTGAACAGTTAATAGTTTTACTCTTTTAAATATTTATTATTTTCTCCTGGAGATTTGCTTTATTGAACTTGATTAAATGATCCCCACCCTACTTCCTCAAAATCTTCTAAATTGTTTAAATGGAAATCAAAGAAGTGCCTACAACTTCCTGTCAAAATTAATTTCTGCTGGCATTTCAATGTAAAATTAACTTTCATGGTGACAGACAGTAAAAAAACTCCAGATTAGCAGAATGAAAGAAACCTGCTTCCCTCTTGGGGTGGGAACAAGCCCTGGCTGATCCCTCCCACCCTGGGATGGTGCCCTTGGGCTCTATCCAGAAAGGCTGAATCTTTTCACATAGCTGGAGCACTGTTTTTTGTGAATTTTATAGGAACTCCATATCCTTGATATGCCTGTCCTGCCCCCCCTGGTCTGCTGGGTGTGGAGTTACTGTCACATGGGGATTGTCCTCTGTACCAGGTGAGATGAGAGGTGAGAGGACAGCTCTGCTTGGGTTTGGAAATGTTTGCAGCACCTTGTAAAGGCTGGAGAAAGTCTTGATGCTACGTGGTGGTACGTGGAGGATGGTGGGGAACTGGCTGAAGAGGAGCTGGTGGCCTCTTCCACAGGCACAGACTGTGAGGAGGAAAGGAGGGAGCATGGGGATGCAGCCCAGGGATGCAGTGGGAGTGCCAGCCCCAGGGGAAGAGGAGCTGCTGGCTGGGCTATGCTTGAAGCCACCTGGGAAAATGTTGCTAGGAGGGAGAGCTGAGGAATAAACAGCTTTTTACTTCCGAGTGCTACACTTGTGCTGGTCTGCACCTTCCAAGGGCTGAGGACAGTCCTGGGCAAGGGCTGAGCTCTGATGCTCCCTCCACCTTTGGGGGCATCTCTAATAGCTCTCTGGGGCTCCCCAGGCTACAACACAGTGGCTGCTGGAGGGATTAGTTGGGAATTTCACTTAACAGGGATGAAGGGCTGTCTTCTGGGGCTGGCTAATTAACAGGATTCTACTCTGGTAATTAAATAGCAGTTTGTTGAACGCAACTTACTTGATGAAATCTTTGGAAAACATAACAATTAGCAGGCAAGGAATGGCAGCTTTGCCTCAAAAGCCTGTTCCCAACCAGTTGTTGGTGTGGTTTTAACCTTTCATTCCCCAGCAGAGATGGTGTTAACCATGAATTTATTTGCATTTTGTGCTGTCGTTGGACAGCTTCTTCACCCTCTGCTGTCACAGCAGCTGGTTCCTCCAGGGCTTTATCTCAGCTGCAGGGGCTTGAGATGTGCCACGTTGCTTTTTCAGAACATTCTCTGGTGCTGCCTTCTTAAAAGCCAGCACTGGAGGACAGGAGTGTTTCCACCAAAACAAAAGAATATTTTTATTTTTATATTCTTCCTGTGGCAGATTGACCAGAGGAGATGAAGTTTACGAGTTGTCTTAAAACATAAACCTGGCAGAGGAAAATTGCTGATCCCGCACAGCTTATATAAACACTCTCATCCACACACACACACGGAAGGGAGGTGCTTTCAGATGGAAACTGTTCCTGTCTTCATCTCTCCACTTCTCCCTCTCCTGTAATGATTCTCTTAGGACAAGAGGATGAGGAAATTAGATTAGACAAACAGTGGGAGATTCGAAGGTTTGCTATAAAAGCCACCTCCAATCTTCGCTACACTTTGACAGCTCTCAATTTCTTAATTTGACAAGTTAATGAAGGCTGCATTATTTCTGAAGCCGTACATACTGCACTGCCAGGGAAGGGGGGCTGTGCTCTGCACCAGGACTACCCATCCCAGCACCTTCCTCCCTCGCAGGCTGCAAATCTCATCCCTGGGAGGGAGGTGGTGTGTGCTGGAGCCTGGGGCAGGGGCTGGCATTTGGAGCTGTGGTGTTATTGCAGGGTTCTGAAAGATGCTCCTGTGCCAGGAGTCAAGTGGACCTGCCCCGGGTGTGTGTGTGTCATCTCCGAGAAGCCGTGCTGCAGCATTTGACCTCCTGGTGTTTGGCTTGGCTGGGCAGCACGTTGTTTCCTTCCACTCTCCCCGAGGCTGTGCAGACAGTGGAATGGGCTGGCTGAGCCAGCCAAGCTAAATACAGAAGGAGACATCCTGCTCATGCCTCTCCGGCACAGCATTCCCAGGGCAGGCCAGTGGGCATCCATGCACCCGCGTGGCTCTGAGTCCAGCCTGGTGCTCTGCTCTGAGTCATGGGATGGGTAAAAGGGCTTTAAATGTGGTGGGGAAACTACCAGCTGCTGGGAAGAGAGAGTCAGTGGGAAGTGCAGCACCTCTGGAGTGGTCCCAGGGTGTCCCTGCACAGCGGTGAGGCCAGGGGCAGAGTTTCAGATTTTACTGATCCCTCTCCAGACTGCCTGTTCCAAGTCCCGTGCCCATGATGTGCTCTGTCTCGAGGAGGAACTGGGAGAGAACTGTATCCATCAGTGCACTGAGGCTCCATAAATAAGCACATCCAAGCAGGCTGGAAGCAAAGAGCAAAGTCAGTATCATTTATCATATGAGGGGGCCTGGAGTATGTTCCAGCTCCTAATGAGTAAGGGAGAGCAGTGTTATGAACAGGCATGGGATGAATCCCCTTCTTTTTGGATCACGATTCTGTGTAATAAACATGCAAGACAATTTGTATAAAATAGTGAGGATTCTTTCCTAGAGAAGTCATTTAAAGCTATATTTGCACATAAGGGAGCTGTTCAGAGGAACGTTTTGTAGTTACATTTCCATACAAGTGTGCAAAGAGAAAACAACACAGTCAGCAAGTGATGGATGGTATATGTAATCCTGTGCCATGCTGTG